CAGCTGGGCAGCCTGTGCCCGGCCCAGATGCACCTGGGGGGGTGGGGGGCGGGTGAGCACTCAGGCCCAGCCCCAGCTCTGCCCTCACGCTCGGAGCCAGGCGGGAGGGCTGTGTCCCGGCCGCAGCCACAGGTCACTGCCTCCGGACCTGGGTCTGTTCTCTGCGTCTAAGACACAGAGCCTGCATCTGGTGCAGGAGAAAAAGACCAAAAGTGCATGAAGCCAACCAGCCCAGGGACGATGCTCAGTATCACTAGTCACTACGGCAACGCGGCCAAGGCCACAGCAAGAGACCACGTCACACCCACCAGGACAGAGCCGACCAAACCCAGAAACAGCAGGTCCTGGGAGGACGCGGGGAGCGGGGCCCGCGGCGGCTGCGGGAACGTGAGGGAGCAGCTGCTGGGAAGACGGGCCACAGCTCCTCAGACAGGTCAGCGCGGACTTACCTGCGACCCAGCAATGCCGCTCCCGGTGAAGACCCCGAAGCACTGAGAACAGAGGCCCTAACGGACCCCCATGCTCCTGTGTCCACGGCAGCCGAGGGGTCAACCAGTGCCCACGCCCGGCTGACGGGACAAACCGCAGGGCCCGCCTGCCGCTGGGACATTACTCGGCCGAGAAAAGGAGGGGCTCAGGCATGGGCTCCCCTGGGAGGAGCCTTGAGCACAGGACGCTCACGGAGAAGCCAGACACAAAGGCCCCGCGTGACCCATTACTATCACAGCCACCTCTACCACCATCATCACCACCGTCACCACCATCATTATCATCACCGGTTACTATCATCGCCACCTCTATCACGATCACCATCACTTTCACCACCATCACCATCATCACCATCATTACCCATTTCTATCACAGCCACCTCTACCACCACCATCACCATCAGCCATTACTATCATCGCCACCTCTATCACCATCACCATCACTACCATCACCACCTTCATCACCATTATCATCACCACCACCACCATCATCATCACTATCTCCACTGTCATCACTGTCACCACCATCATCACCATCACCTCATCTCCATCCACCACCATCTCCACCATTGGCGGCATCATTCTCCATCACCTATTGCAACTGTCATTTGCCACCGTTTCTACCACTGTCCCCGGCTGTGTGTGGCCTCGGCCACAGGCTCTGTGCTCCCGTGGCAGCCTTGGGAGGCGGTGTCTTCCCCGCTTAGGGCACGAGGGAACAGGTGGAGGGTTAAGCAGATTCTGGAGTCCCACGCCCATCCCCCAGCACCGCTCCGCCCCCAGGGCCGCCTCTCTGGTCCTCGCTGGAACCTGGGGGAAGCCCCTCTTTGCTCCACCTGCAGGAGCCCCCTGGGTGGAATGGCTCCACCCCCGTCTGTCCATGCAGAGGTCCCTGCTCCTCCTGTCCCGAGCTCCAGACTTGCTGGGGCCATGGCTGCTCGGCAGCTCCACACGCCCCCCTCCTCCCCTGCAGGCCAGGCCCCCACCGAGCTCAGGACCAGCCCCACCATCTGCTCGCCAAAGGCAGCCGGTCACCCAGGCGCTCAGGCAGAGCCCCCTGCTGGTCACCAAGCCGCCTCCTCCCTCCCAGGCAGAGATCAGCCCAGGTTCTTCCGCCCGACTGCACGGCCTCCCTCCTGCCCCCTTGCCTCCCTCCTGCCCGCACGGCCTCCCTCCT